AATTAAAGAACCTCTTAATGAGGGTGAAAGAGGAGAGCGCAAAAAATGGTCTGAAGCTCAACATCAAAAAAACTAAGATCATGGCCAGTGTTCCCATCACCTCCTGGCAAACAGAAGGGGAAGATATGGATGGAGTGACAGATTTTACTTTCCTGGACTCCATGATCACTGCAGATGGTTACAGCAGCCACAAAATTAAAAGACACCTGCTTCTTGGTAGGAAAGCAATGACAAACCTCAACAGCATCTTAAAAAGCAGAGACATCACCTTGTCGGCAAAGGTCCGCATAATCAAAGCTATGGTTTTTCCAGTAGCAATGTATGGAAGTGTGGAGTGACAGATTTTACTTTCCTGGACTCCATGATCACTGCAGATGGTTACAGCAGCCACAAAATTAAAAGACACCTGCTTCTTGGTAGGAAAGCAATGACAAACCTCAACAGCATCTTAAAAAGCAGAGACATCACCTTGTCGGCAAAGGTCCGCATAATCAAAGCTATGGTTTTTCCAGTAGCAATGTATGGAAGTGAGAGCTGGACCATAAAGAAGGCTGACCACTGAAGGATTGATGCTTTGGAATTGTGGTGCTGGAGGAGACTCACCAGAGTCCCCTGGACTGCAACGAGAACAAACCTATCCATTCTAAAGGAAATCAACCCTGAGTGCTCATTGGAAGGACAGATCCTGAAGCTGAGGCTCCAATACTTTGGCCATCTCATGAGAAGAGAAGACTCCCTGGAAAAGACCCTGATGTTGGGAAAGTGTGAGGGCAAGAGGAGAAGGGGATGACAGAGGACGAGATAGTTGGACAATGTCATCGAAGCTGCCAACATGAATTTGACCAAACTCTGGGATGCAGTGGAAGACAGGAGGGCCTGGCATGCTGTGGTCCATGGGGTCATGAAGAGTCGGACACGACTTAACGACTATACAACTAATCCACGACGATTCTACTGCAAATCATGAATATGAATAATGTATTTCCATAATTAATTCCACTTCCTCTAACCATGTACCAAGAAAGATTACAGAAAACGTTATATCCCTATTCTATGATCTCTAGAAATCTCCTATAATCTACTCTCTGAGGTTCACCAGGCATTGCCCATTTCTTCTATGGAAAATGCAAAAGAGATGAAGAGAAGATATAAACCATAATCACTGAGATGTTTATTTATACTGTACACCAAATTTAGCATTCTGCAGCTGGAACCCCTTCCCCTGTAGGGTACACATACACAGCATGATCTCTGAAATGACTCATCTACATGGAAATCTCTTTAGAGAATCTAACAAGATAAATGATGAAAAACACACACCTGTCTAGTGAGCCAGACAGCAACCTCTGGCCAGAGCTACTCAGACACAAACATGTTAGTGTCTTATGATGATTTCTCAAGGACACCAGCAACTGCCCTCCTTTAAGGAGATCCCAAATTTTAACATACCGACCACCTGTAAAAGAAAGCACAATAATTTTTCACTTGCATAAACATTTCTTCACAAGAAGTGTGAAGAACTATTCAGAAAGGAGCCTCTCAAGTATAGCCCATGTCATTTTACATAATCACCATAACTTCCCTTCACAGATTTAAAGGTGGATTATATGGTCACCAGAAATGGGCATGAACTGCCAGTTTGTCTTTTGGACAAACAGGTGTTCGGCATTTCCTAGCTCCACCTCCTCCAGCAGCCACCCTGGCTTCCCTGCCCTGCCTCCTCTGGGTGCTGCCCCTGAGTGGGTAACCACCAGAGCAGGTGGAGCTGGGAAGTGCCAACCACTTGTTTGTCTGAAGAACGAACTGGCAAGAACCACCAAACCAGCAGTTCAAGCCCATTTCTAGTGGTAACCATAGAATAAGTTCTGCCCTCAGACTCATCCACGCCTATATGACCATATACTGACACTGACTTCTGAACTGACAAGCTGAAGAAGCAGATGCTTGTGCATATGCTTCCTTAAAACTGTTGCTGTAGTGCCTACATGACCATATAGTGACACTGACTTCTGAACTGACAAACTGAAGCAGATGCTTGCGCATATGCTTCCTTAAAACTGTTGCTGTAGCAGGATCTGCAAACTAATGCTCCTCTGTGACAACTGCATTGTGCATCCTTAGTATGACTGATGGCTGAAGGAGCCTTATCTGTATTTTACACTCAGTTATTTGGGAGCAAGAGCCTGCAGGTTCAGACAACTGTTTCTTTGGATAGAAATGTATAAGCGAGCCTCTTCACTTTGCATAATGTTCTAATTTCTAACTCAGAAGTGGGCAGCTGTGGTCATTCAAATGCATCTGGTCTGTAAATCTCATCAAGCCTAGCCAGCACAACCAGTGATGAGGGATGAGGCGGTTTGCAATCCCCAAGCATTTGCAGAGCCAGAGTTGCCCAGATGGAACCTAACCCAGGGCTGGCAGTAATGTAGTCCAGGGATCCCATGCAGCCCAAAAGCTGGGTTTGTGGCCTCCTGAATTTCCCAGCCAAAAGAAGAAAAAAGAAAAGAATTAATATTCTGACTGCAACTCAGCACAGTGCAAACACCCCACTGACTGAAGATGTCCGTCAATGTAACAGAAAGGGATGGAATTCTTGGCAATTTCCCTTCATATCCTCTTGTCTCAAAATTTACTTCAGAGATTTGCAAGAGCACACCTGGGGCAAGGATGAAGACACATGAGAGTTAGACTCTCCTTTCCTTGGTCATGGATGCAGACCTTCCACCACAGAAATTGCCACCAACGAGTACAACCCTAGCAGTTTGATCTGCAGCACTGGGTGGGACATAATGGACTAAGCCATGACAGATATGAGCTGTACTATAAAGCCAGCAAGCCACATTTTGCCTGGTGTCCTGAAGTTACAACCCAATCAGCCTTGGAAGACAGGCCATCAGCCGTGAATGGTACAGAAGTGATAGCAGTACAATCCTACCAAGAATGAAAATTATGGAGTTGGGTGAAGAAATCTAAAGGTAGGAGAAATAAACTAGGTACAGGTCAGATGAAATACCTGCAGTCACAAGAAGACCTCCAGAAGGAAAGAGATTTATGCTCTCCACTGGCTGCCCGTGTTCTATTGTCATGACACTTTTTTCTGCCCGTGCATCAAAGACTTTCACAGTATGGTCATATGAACCTAGAAGACACAGTACAGAGAGAAAGAGCTTGAGACTCTAAATATACATGGGAAAATGGCTTTCCACTGTAGGTGTAGCATTTTTGTTTAGACCTACAACGGCCTAGACTGTCATTCTCAGAACAGCTGCTGATTTAGGATAAATATTAGTGATCATTCTCTATATTCATTCACATGCCAAAGCATAAAGCAAAAGTAACTGTTCTTAAAAGTACACACCACTTTCTGTCCAACTGTGTTGACTGATTTCAGATATTAGTTGAATTTTGAAAAAATTTGAAGGCTCATCTGAAAAAAGGAACACGATGATTGTGAGGTGTGTACCCCTTTATCCATGGGATCAGTATCCACTGAGTCACTGATCTGCAGTCTGAAAATATTTTTAAAAAATCAGAAAAAAAGATTTTTACATGCATTACCAGAACTAGCCATAGAGGCAGCCAGAGAAAATACATACAGTAGCTTGGTCTCTGGCTGCTTAAGGCCCTTAACTCTGGTTTTCTCCTGGAAGGCAGTGGCTCCTCCTTCTGCCTGTTGGTTCACCAGGCAGATATGAGAGTGTGCAGAGCGACAGCAAGCAGCTCAGCATACAGGTGAGCAGCCTTCCCAAGGCACCAGTGGCAGCCTCCATGCTCAGCCCTCTCATCGAGTTTGTGTGGACTGGAGGGAGGGCAGGATTCCCCTCGGCTCTTTTGTCCCAAGGGCTGGCCTTCACCTTCCAGATAATAGTTGGGAAGGGTGTTTGCTTTCCTTTTCCTTTTTTAGCATCTGCATGGGGGCTTGGAACCAATCCCCTGTAAATATGTGGGATTTTCATTTATTTCAGTATTTCATGAGAGAAAGGGGGCTTCTTGTCATCAGATTTGTCATCAGTATCTTGGTCACTCCCCTTTTAAATGAGCAGAGTACAATTGTGGACCCATAATTGTCTTATGGCAGAACAACTTAAGGTTAAGAAAAACAAAATGAAATATAAGAAAAAAGAATTTGGCTAAGAAAACTGAGCTACAAAAATTATTAACCAACAATATATTAAGAAGGCACAAAATAGAGAAGCAAAACCCAGAAAAAGCAGGCATGAATCATTTAGGGTGAAGCTGCAGTATCTGCCAAGAAGTCATTGCCATAAAGCAGTGCTTCCCAACCTTGAGTCACCTGCGTGTTCTCAGACTGCAGTTCCCAGAAACCCCAGATAGTATAGCTGGTGGTGAAGGCCTCTGGGAACTGTAGTCCAAGAACACCTGGGTTACACAAGGTTGGGAACCACTGCCACAAAGGAAACAAACCTGTTGCAAAGAGATCTGCATTCAGTCGACTAGTGCAACCACATCTCACATAGTCCGTGTGCTCCTTGTAGGATACTATTTCTGATGAAGATGAAATGTCCCACACCTTTGATGTGTAATCATCTGCTCCAGATACTATCCGGTACTTATCAGAGAGAAAACCCACAACATGTACTGCTCTGAAAATCAAGATTCAAATATCCTGTTAATGCCTTACATTTTTTTTCACATACATTTACATCCTAGTAATCTGTACTACTAATGACATGCATGATGTGACTACATGGGGAAACTATACATGGAAACTTTCAAACCAACTCCAGGGGTCTGAGATCATGAAAAACATTGGATGAACTAGGCAAGATTGAATGATGCCTGTATATGGGCATTGTGATAAAGCCATCAGTATACCCTTCAGAAAAAAAAGGAGCAATGTGACATCCAGATCCCATAAACCAATGAGCTAATATAGTTTTAACACTGTTTTCAGAGCTCAGTAATTGGGTTTCTTTTCCCATGCATAAAAAAAATTAAATAATATAAAAGTAGTCTTGGAGTCCTTTCCAACTCTACAACTTATGAAAAAGCCCTTATGGCAGCAGAAGTAAAATTATGCCATGTTTGTAGTGAAGTTCAAATACACATGATGCACATGCTTAAACAAAGCTGTACTCTTACTTAGTATGGCCATCAAACTGCCTCAGTGGTGCTCTCCCACTGATATCAAAGAGCCGAACACTGCCATCTTCACTGCCAGCTACCAGCAGCTTTCCATCATCTCGATACGTAGCACAATATGCTACATCTTTGAAGCGAGAAAATGTTTTGATTGGTTCTTGTGAATATCGACCATAAATGTGAATCTAGAACAAAAAGGAACAGATGTAGGCATACAGGAAAAAAATCAACTGAAAAACCAAGAGGTCTGTTTGGTCCAACTAACAAAATTTCAAGGTCACAAGTATGACACTCGAATTGAACCCTCAGAGAACTACAGAACTTTACAACAACGCTTGGTAGTTTAAGTCTGTGGTGCTCTGTCACAGCTAACATTTATCCCTAAAAGGATTAAATTCCAGTTGAATCAGATAATCATACGAAAGTTCATCTGGGGATCAAAGTATGTCATTTACTTGCTCCTATCTGGTTCACTAAAAAAATTTGATGGTGCACTAACTAATCAGCATCCTTGCTGGCCCTCGAGAAATGTAGCATTCAAACATGCTCACTCAGTCATCTGCCAGTTAAAATTTATGGAGGAAAATGCACAATTTCTGTATGTTGCCTCTGTGCAGCTGTGTCTCTGCAGTTGTTATCTTTTTCCTTCCTCTAGCTTCTCCGTTTGGCCTGGCATGGCTCTATTCTGGCTCAGCTGACTTAGCTGACTCTTTGCTGGCTGGCATCTTGCTTACATTACACCAGTCCTTTTATAGGATGCTTGTATGTCTTTACCTATTGTTCGTATTTTCTCACCAAACTTTCATATTCCACTACTAGAAGATGAATGCAAAATCTCATAGAATCTGTTATAAAAGCAAACTTTCTCTGATAAGAACAGTAACATTCCTCCTTATCTTAATTCTGTTCTAAGTTAGCAGACTCAATGCGTTTTCTCACTGAACCTGCTTCAGTAGCAAACACCATGCATTCTCTATGGGTGTTGCTACAGTTGCTAAGAGCTTCCACTGCTTAACCTAGGATAGGCTGGGACACTGCTGGTCTGCCAAAAAGTTCTTTACAATAACTCCCAGAACCCTTCTGCCACCGTGGCTATTGAGATAGCTGTCTACTGATGCTAGACTCCAATCATCTGGTGAAGAGAGCTACAGTCTACAAAAGCTTATGCATAATAAAATTTGTTAGCCTTTATAAAACTGAGTGGTGCACAGGACTCTGGCTGAGTTCAGCCCCCCCCCCCAAACAGCATTTACTCCACTGTTTAGCTAGAAATGGGGAGGGGGGTAGAAGGTAGGTGGCTGTGGAATTATAGGAGCTGCAGTAAAAGAAGTAACTTTTCCTTGATCTATTCCTCACAGCTATACCAAAACAGACAGCAGCATGCTTGCAGCTGTTCCCCCTCATATTTAAACATGCCCCAGCTTTATATGAAGATTTCCACAGTCTTTTACTTTCTGCAGATAAACTATTCTTTCAGTTTCTTTTTAAATAATGCATTCTTATCTTCAGACCAATAAAGGATTAGTATTTCTATACATGAAATCATATTTTTGACAGGTCTTTTCGCGAATCACCAGGACTCTAAAAGCTCTGTGCCCAAAGAGATGACACTGTCCTTGGTGTCACCTCAGCAGCAGCTGCAACATTGTTCCACTGCTACAAAAGCAAGCCCTAAAACAGGCAAATTCAGCAGAGCTTCAGTACAACAGTGTGGGAAAAAGCAGTAGGGAAAAACTTACAAACTTATGAAGAACAAAACTGCATTTTAAAGCTTACCCTTGATGAGGCTGTGACAGCATAGTTATATGGAGGTACTGGAGAAAAATCTATTTTATTCACCGCACCAAATTCTTTTATCTGAATTGGAGCCTAAAAATGACAGAATATTAATAGATTCCATTTGAGGCAGCCAATGTTACACAATAATTATTATTGAACACATATCCTACATTTCTGTTTAAATTAGCACTCAAGACAGCAGAGTTGTCTTTTTAAAATATCAAACTACTTCCCCATCATGCAATAAAGTATAAATGGCAAATATACAGTTCACATAATGCTTTTTTAATATCAGAGAAAACACTGAAGATTTACAAACAACTGCAGATACCAACTGCCTCAGAGTATTTATATATTTATCCTTGATGCTATGGGTGGCCACTCCAAGAGGCCCAGAAGTCATCAACCAGAAACCAGGCCTTCTCAGTAGTGGCTGCCCCACTCTGTTTAATAGATTCCATTTGAGACAGCCAATGTTACACAATATACATACCCAAAATAAATAATTTAAAAAATTACATACTTTTAAACATATATTAATTAACTGATTGATTTATTGATCGAATGGTTGGTTAATTCTTATTTTAGTGCTGTAGCATAGCAATATCATTGTGGCAGATGTATGTCGACTGTGTACAGTATTTTTGTTATTTCCTGGAAGCCACCCACTGTACTGACTTGCCCACTAAATGGGCAGGTTATAAGTTTAAACAAACAAACAAACAAACAACTCCCTCCCTGTGGAGCTGTGATTGGCCCCCACCCTCCTGAACTTTCAAAAGCAGGTGAAAACCTGTTGTTGTTGTTTTTACCCAGGCCTTTACAAATCTCACTCCTTTGTAGTATTAATTTTGTAGTAAATTTATGCTGGCCCATGGTTCACCGAACAGGTTTTTGTTTTTATATGTTCATTTTTTAAATTGCTGTATATTTTTGTTATTTCCTGGAAGCCACCCACTGCAGTGACTTGCCCACTAAATGGGCATATTATAAGTTTAAACAAACATCTGTATTACCTTGTAATTCTTCCAGTACAAAGTATCTTTTGTTACTTTTTCACCAAGCTTTGGAAAAGACTGGACTACAACTGGCTTGTAATTAGCCATTATTTCTTATATGCAGCTTTTTCAAGGAACTGTGTGTGATCTTCTGGTGCAGCAAACTTCCTATGACAAAAATATATAATAGCTCTTCAAAGAAGGAAACAAAGGACACAAAAATCTTGGAAATCTACTTACAAAGCTAATAAAATATGTATTGAATATTTTGAGGGATTCTGGGAGCTATAGTCCAAATGTGAAGGACAAGAGATTCCAAGTACGCTGTCGCCTCCTATTGAAAAGGACACCAAAGAGGAAAAAGCAAAGAAAGAAAAGTTAGAGGCACAGGAAAGACAGGAAGGAGTTAAAACAGAGGTCTGTCTGTTAGAGGAAGGGAAGGGGAAGGAGGTGGAGCAATGGGTTGAAGTGGGGGAAGAGGACTTAAATACAGGGGGAATAGCACAGGACTTTCAAGTTGTAACGGGGGTGAGGAGGAGAGAGAAAGAAAGAAGAGGTTAAGGTGAAAGATGTAAAGAGTTTGACAGAAGATTTCCCGAACTTAAAAGTGGGATGACTGTTGCCGGACCCGATTCGGAAGCCTGAAGGTGTGGTGGTGCAAGAGACTTTAGAATGGACCGTGGTAGTTTTCCCGAGGGGCCGAGGTCATTGGAGGAAGGTGGTGCGCCCCGATGCGACTTTCGACAAGCCACCACCCGAGGGGGATTGGGCTTGCCACCTCTGTTGTGGAACTCTTTGCGTGGTAAGGAGTGCCCCCCTTTGGAAGCCCACTGACAAGGAGCGCTTTGGGCCGGCTCCCCCGTTCTAAGACAAGATTATACTGTCAACAAAGATGGACTAGTAGAAAAAAGGTTTAATGAGTGGGAGTTGTTGGAACCCACAAAAGTTGTTATTGACACCCCCTTGTTACGTGTTAATAAAAATAGTCCATGACTCCTCCGATTCCTGCCTATATGGCCAAAAACAGTCTTGCTTCAGAAGTCATGACTCCTCTGATTCCTGCCTATATGGCTCAAGCCAAACACCCGCCAAACACCTTTTGACACCAAAACATCTGGAGGACTCCCAGGTTCCATGATGTGCCTCTACAACAGAGCCACATCTAGAATACTGTCAAGCTAGTCACCTCATTGCAAAACATTAACTACCACAAAAAAGGAAGGTAACATCTTTCAGAAGAGAAAAGTAAGTAACCTAAGCTTCCTTATTCCCCAAGGAGATCACATATTGATCTCTGCCTAGTGGATCCAAAAAAGGACCTAGCATTCAATTGCATGCTATATCATTATTGGTCATCACTGTACCTAGTGCCTAGACTTCAGCCTTAATCATAGAAAAAAATAGCCAAACTACATGTTCAATATTTATTTGGACATCACAGCAAAGCTAGGCCAACTGTTAATTAAAGCATAAGTGTTAGAAACACCACACTCTTACAATTACAGCTCAAACATGAACTGCTGGATAGCTCAGTGGTTTAGGCATCCGTTGAGAATTCAATTCCCCACTGTGCCTCCTTAACAGGACTTGACAATCCAGAGGGTTCCTTCCAGCTCTGAAGCTCTAAGATGATGACGACAATTATTATTAGCTTGTGTACATAAACATGTGATACCAAAATAAAATGGAATATGAAAAATGCTAGACAAAGTAAAACTGATATGTTGAACTAATTTACAGTAATAAATGCATGAATGATAGGCAAAAACATCTGAGGACAAAATAGGAGGTACAAATACAAAGCAGTTACAGCATATTTCTGTGAATACTGTGAAGAAGGCTACCTCTTCTAAAATGTTTACAGTTTGTATACCACTCCAGGAAAGATAAAGATCAGAGAGTGACTTGTTCACCTTCCATAGTTATATATGCCATTGTTGTTTATACTGAGTGAGTCCTTCCAGCTTCTAGTTAATGCAGATTATTAAGAGAGGGGAATTCAAACAGAAAAATTCTAATGGCATATTTTTGTCTTCACTCGAGCATGGCTGCAGAATTACATGTTTGCAATGTAAAAATGAAAACAAAGAGATAAAAGTGTTGGAATACCTTATGAGGAAAAACTCATTTTGATGTTTAAAAATATCAAAAGGGAGGGAGGGAGAGCATCTAACATAATTTTACACACCTATGTACAGGGCAGACAGCAGAAGAAATAATAGAACTTTCATAGTACTGTACTTAATGCCATTTGGTGACCCTAAGCATTCAGTCAGCAGCAGATTCTGGAAAGGTAACAGAAAATGGTTCTTCAGATACTGGAGAAGTAGCTTAAGGGACACACTGCCACAAAATATGGCAATGGTCACTGGCCTAAATAGTTTAAGAAAGCAGCTAGAAAAAAATCAACAGTCAAAACAGCTCAACAGGCCTTTCATGTTCAGAAACAGTATTCGCTTCAAATGCCAACTACTATGAGCACAGAACTAGAGGGGCTGTAAGACTTATGTCTTATTTGCAAGCTTCTCAGAAACATTTGACTGTTCGGTAATAAAAAAAGAAGAAGAAGAACGGGGGATCTTTTGGGGTGGCCTAACAGCAACAGATCTCTCAGAAATTTTTTTTTCTTGGATCGGCCAGCGCGACAGAGAAGCCACCCGACCCAGAATGCCTACCTTTCCAGCAGCTGCGAAAACCACCCGAACCCCTATGAGAGATCCAAAGGCTCTACTGAGACGGAGAGTTAGTCCATTTCCTACTGGGGGCTGGCGAGCGAATCGCGCGGTGACCCTAAAGCCCCTCCACAACCTTCCAGCCCGAAATCCACTCTTACCGCAGAACGCAAGCATTCCTTCCGCTTCACCACTTCACCGTCACGTTGCCTTCCAAGGAGGACGCCATCACAGCAAGAAGACTGCGGGGCAGGCGGAAGACGTCATCACAGCGCGACCGTCACCGTTCATTTGACCGCTGTGGTCTGTAGCGCCACAACTGCGCTCATAGAGATAAAAAATGAAGAGTTATGCCATATGGGCACTTCCGTTTTGCGTTAGGGCGCCTCCGATTGTCAGGGTGGAAACGTAATACGGCGTGGGAACGCCGCTCTGCCTCCGTAGTATTACGCCCTCTTCTTCTACTGCCTTCGTTAAGCCCTCATAGTCTCCTACCGCTCTTTCGTCACAGTGTCTTCCTGTGCTCGAGCCTTCTTCTGCTCTCTATGAGAACAATACAGAGGGAATGAGGGAGACCAGAGCAGGCTTCACCCTCCCGCAGATGAAGTGAACGAATTTAAGGACTTTTTCGTTCCGGGTTTCCCCCCCCCGGGGGGGGATTAAGCGGAAGTGATGTCATCAAGTGCAGGAGCAACAACAACAATAACAACAAGAAAGGTGATCCAGGCGGCGAGGAAGGAGGTGGCGTTGCAGAGGAAAAGGTACGGGTGCTGGGCGAGGCCAGGGAGAGCAGTGGCTACCGTAGGAAAGAGGGCAGCCCAGCCCTCGCCCAGGCGCTCTTGGGTACCGGTTAGGCGGCTGTCAGACTTGAGCCGGAAGGGCTCCGGTTCACATCCCAGTTTGGCCGCCACCTGAGACCGCGCGTCTCGTCCAGCATCGCGTTTCTCAAGGTGACCCGCAAGAGGGACGTGCGATCTCCCAGAAAGCAGGGCGTGAGGGCGGTGGCCCCTGTCATCCCGCGCTCCTCGTAACCAGGAACAGGGAAGGGCCCTCCTTCTGAGTCTAGCGATTGCATGCGGAGCGATGGCGAGCAGCCTTTCAAAGCTTTGCCCAGCCTTGCGAGGAAGGGCGTGGGAATGTGGGGCTGCGGCTCCCGTCGTCCCTTTTCACTGGCTGGACTGGCCAATACTGGTGTGAGTTGGAGTCCAGCGACATCTGGGGGGGTTATAGGTTCCCCACCCCATTACACGGCATCCTAGTGTTGCAGAGAGACATGATTTAGGCAGACCTTTATGACTGCCTTCCTTGCTAAGACCATCTGTGCTAAGTATCCATTGATCCATCACAGAAGAAAGAATTTAAGTTGCAAACTACTGGAGTAACCATGAAAAGCTCAGGCTCAGACAATCAGACGTTCTCAGCACGGAAGAAATTCCTTTTTATCTATAGCATATTGTTTGGCCTCCAGTCTGTGGCCGTTGTGAGTCTCCCTGAATTACTATTTGTTGTTTAGTCGTTAAATCGTGTCGGACTCTTTGTGACCCCAAGGACCTGAACAGGCCAAGCCCTCCTGTCTTCCACTGCCCCCCAGAGTTCGGTCAAAGAATTACATATTGGGAGATGTCAGTTAATAATAACAAGTTGGGGGGTAGGAGCTGGGCAACGTTGTTAAATTTATTGCAGCAAAAAGAGTAGAGTTTTTTGGTACTTTGAAGAAAAGCAAATTTTATTTAGCATAAAATTTCATGGTCTATAGCCCACTTCTGATGGCTGGATAGCTCAGTGAGTTGGGGTACCTGAGGCTGGGAGTTCAATTCCCCACTTCGTTTCCTGGGAGAAGAAGCAGCATTGGGCAAACTGCACAGTCCCAGACTTCTGAGTACTTCATATTTAGAAAACTCTGAGAAGAGTCACCAAAAGTCAGAATCAACTAGACATACATATTATGATTATTAGATCACTTTTACATCTGCCATCTAAAGAAATAGGTGTGCCAAGACATTTTGCTATTTTTAAAATTGGTAGCAACACTGAAGTATATATTCGTTCTCTGTAATCTGTCATTCATTGTAGTCTGAAGTATGTATATAATTCACTGCTCTGCCAGGGTAGGGTTGCCAGATACATGGGTACCAAAAGGAGGACATAGAAAGATAAAAAGGAGGACAAAGGAGGACATATTGAATGTTTCATTTGAATTGTTCCAGATTAAACCCACAGTCAATACAATTTTATTGCAATAGCTGCCAATAAGTGTCTCTTTGTGACCCGACCAAGAAACAGTCATGTTAAAAAATAAAAATAAATTAAATGGAGGCTTCCCCCCCCCAATACCAAAAAAACCCACATTATTTAAACAGTCTATTGTACCCAACCCCACCCCAGCCCGGCTGCAGGATCCCCTGGCCTGTCACACTCTGCACAGGTTCAGAGGCAACCTTGCTAATCTGGACGCCCAAACAAGGCTCCGGCACAGGCAGGGGGAAAGCGGCGCCGAGGAAAACCAAATGAGGCAGCCTCTCCTCCCCTGAGGGTCATAAGTTCAAAGCTGGGGAGTGTGTGAGCTGGAGTCCCTGAAAGGGACTTTGAACACACACAGTCCAGGCACTTGCCTTCCCATCAATGCGCTTGGGCGCTGCTTGCTCCTACCTGGCTCAGCAGGCAGTGCTCCGCTCATGCTGCCTTTCTGGGCTCCATGTGGGCTGGGCAGGCGTGGTGGATTGCCAAGCAGCTGCCGCCGCAGCAAAAGCGAGCAAAGAAAGACATGGGGATGGGGTGTCCTTCCACCTCTCCCCCTCCGATCCACAATTGTAACATAAAATATACAAAAGCCTGACATTTTTATTTTTGCCTGACGGACAGAGGACATTAGGCTAAAAAGGAGGACATGTCCTCCTTTTGCCTGACATCTGGCAACCCTATGCCAGGGTCATCTGGCAAAGTGGTAGAACTTGAACACAGATTATCAAACTCAAATTTTGTAAGCAGAGGACCAAACGTCAGCACCAATGAAGTACACTACTGTCATAGTAAACCTGTAAAACTAAAAAAGTGAGCTAAAGTGAAAAGCAATTTTCCCCAGATGCTGATACCCAAGATCAACTGATACCCCAGACTAACCAGTGTTACTTGTGACTAGATACCTACCATGGCTTGAGTCTTTGTAGCTCCATAGCCCAGGAATGTATGTTGTTGTTTAGCCCTTAAGTCTCCAGGCTGCAACCAGATCTTTTCAAAGGGGAACAAAACCAATTGTGCTTGTCTGGGCAAGCCATGCTTTCTACCAAATTTATATAGGCAGAACTGACCTCATGCTTTGAGGCATGTTGTTTACACATTCACTTTTGTTTTCCATCCAAATACTAGCAACGTCTGCAATCACGTTATTGTAATGTTGCTGTTTAGGGGGGAAAAGGTGATGGCAATTTAAAGGTACATGTATCTAGGCACTAAATACCTCCTTACTGATAGTGGTAGCCAAGTATCAAAACAAGGAGAAAAAACTGGTTTCAGTAGATGTCCTTGAGTCAAGTTAGAACAAAGATCTCAAGGATGTGCAAAGTTAAGTTGCTGTGAAGTCATAGTGTCTGCAGTATTACAGTCTACATGAACATTTGAGTAGCTGTTTGGTTATTTTTAAATACAAAGGGTGAAAAACATTCTGCACTGCCTAGAATAAACAATAGCAACTGTTCAGAGTGATGAACACTTTTGAATTGTTATGAGTTAGTGGCTTTGCATTCTGATCTAATAGAATTGTATGTTCCACTCCAGATTGTTATTAACCTTAGCTACTGTGAATTGAAGAAGCACACAGGCTAAAAGAAGAAGCTAAAAGAAAACACTTGATGTAACAGAGACTTGAATAATGGAATCTTCGGCTAATCTAGATGTTGATACCCAACTAATTGTGGAAGACTGTGATGGCAGTTTTACTTTGTCTCACATGCCCGACATTAAAGTGGAGCATCACCTTGAGTCTGGTGTTGAGGAAGGACCAGCTCAGAGTGTTGCCATGGGAATGAAGTTTATTCTGCCAAACAGGTTTGATATGAATGTCTGCTCTCGGTTTGTTAAGTCACTGAATGAAGAAGACAGCAAAAATATACAGGATCAAGTGAACTCTGACCTTGAAGTGGCATCTGTATTATTTAAAGGTGAGAATTTAAAGTGATCTTTTCCTTAAGGATAATACCATCATTGGAAATTAACTCAGAGGTGCTTTACAGAATGTCCATTGAAGTTTTAACTGGTTTGATGTTCCATCTTCCTTGATCCTATGTCATTTGAATGCCTTGTGAACTCAGAAAGATAAGCATTTTCTTTGTTGGGATCTTTCATTTCTAATGTGCTTGTCCTCTGGCATTCTTTTATGTAAAGTAGCAAATAATCTTGAGCGATCTGTCCTTAAGTCACAGGCTAGATTTTGCATTATGGTTTTGAAAATTTGAGTAATTTTGGACTAGCCTGGCCATAACAGTAGAAGGAAAAGCATACACCTTATACCTTGTGTGAACTTGTAATAAGCTTAATAAATTATTACGTGCTGTCAAGTCAGTTCTGAATTATGGTGACCCTTTCCAAGGGGTTCTAGATATAGAATGTTTAGAAGTGGTTAACTAGTCTCTTCTTCTGCGACACTCTGGAGCTGTGCAACTTGCCCAAGGCTACAAAGGCTGGCTGCTCTCTTGGAAAGAAGAGTGGGGAATTGAACTCCCAACCTTTGGCTCTCCAGGCAAATACATAGCTCACTGAGCTACTTGGAGGCCACTTCTGATGTTGACAATAATCCTATTTTAAATCTGAATAGAATACGACTGTTTACGTGAGTTTTACACATTGAACCTTAATACTCTGTGTGGATGTAAAACTCATTAATTCCCATTTTGAGAAACAAGCTAGTGTGGCTAGGATAATCATAGGCACAACAGGGCAATTCACTCTGAATATAAATGTATCCTCCTTAAGCCTAAAGTTCTTTACAGGCAGGGGAGCCCTAAAATGAATGCCAACTGTAACTCAAAAAAACTATAGATGTTAAAGTTCTTTGGTGTTTACAGCAGGATACAGGAACCTGTGATCCTCCAGATATTGAACTCTAATTCCCATCATCTTTTAGTATGGCAAATATTAAGGCATGATGGATACAGAAGTTCATCAACATTTGAAGTACAGTACTAAAGTTAACGAAGTCCTGATTTGTAGGAATACGTATATAGTGCTGAACTGGAGTTGCTTTGTTGAAATAAAATTGACTGTACATCCTAGAAATGTGCTTTCCTTCACGTGTCCAGATAAGGCAGGCATGTCTCTGTCTATTCTGCTGCTTTGTGCAAATCAATATCTATATGGGTTTGATTGATGTTAGCCACTCCCAGTTGTCCTTGCTATCCATGTTACTCAAGTATAGTGCAACTCAACCCCAGCAGCTTTGGTGGATTGAAGTAAAGTGCAATGAATGTCATTCTTTAAACATGAGTTTTCTTTACTGCTTAAGGCTACAGTATTTATTTTGTTTTTCTCTCTTAGCTGAGTGCAATATCCATACTTCTCCTTCTCCTGGAATTCAAGTGAGACATGTCTATACTCCATCAACAACTAAGCATTTTTCACCTATAAAACAATCAACAACTTTAACTAACAAGCATAGAGGAAATGAAGTTTCAACAACACCTTTGCTTATAAACTGTAAGTTTTCCTCTGTAAAATAATGAATGCTGCTACATTTTCATTTTGGGCATTTTCTTTGTGATATTACAGGAAACTGATCTAAGCATTCTGTTTAAGTGAGTTAGCAATTCAAAGCTATATTGGCCAGAGTGCTATTGTCCATTTACACTTCCATAAAGGAAATCACACAAGTTTGGGTGGCAAATTGCTACTCATTAACCTAGAGCTGGTTGCATTCCTAAGTTTGTGCCCTGGCACACAATAGGGCATGGGCACTGGATCAGAATCAGCACTTTGTTAATGAGTAATATTTGCTGCCAAGATTTATACAACTTTCTCACTCAAGCCTAAGTCTGCAAGAGGATTTCGGCTATTGTTTATCAAGTTTAGGGTAAAATTTAAAAGAAAGAATTGACAGGAATCCAATTCCTGTCAGGGTCATAATGCTAGATTGTGCTCATTGGCCAAGCACTGTGATTGACCAACCAGTGGTTTCATAAGGAAAACTACCCTCTGTTTGCACAGTCCTGCATTATAACCCTAGTAGTACATTCTTCCCCTCAGGAGAAGTTCAGCAGCGTACAGGCCATTGCTTTTATCCACGTGGAAAACAAAGCTTTTTCAAATTATGAATGGAGTTGGCATGCTAGCGTACAGCAGTTTAAAAAACAAAAGTGTTGCATTTGTCTCATATATTTTGCACATAGAAGTTCTGATGTTTAGTATATACTTTTGTCCATAGAATCTCTTGAGAGAATAAGCAAATTTATTTAATTTTGGCAGATTCCCATACCATAGAGAGCTGCCACCAAATTTCAGTACCAACGCAGTGGCCAAAATCTTAGATGCTACCACTGAATGTTTTCTCATTTAAATTTTTGAAAGGTTTTACATGGATTGTAGTGTTATGGTGTGAGGTATGTGTGCTATGACATTATTGTAATAATTGGAAAATTCATTTGTTTTTGAAAACCTCTCAACACAGTACATTGTGGAAAATACTATACACAAAGAAATTGTATTATGAGTAGAGGCCTTAGTGGGTGGGTACACTGCAGCTCTCCAGCATTGGAAAATAGCTCACTCTGTGCAAATGGCATCCAATAATCTTCCGTTTGTGGCAGGACTGCACCATAGGAGATGCCCATAGAATTTTCTCCTGTTTATCATTGCAGCCCTATCTGTTCATCAACTGGCGGCTCAGGGGGAAATGTTGTATCTAGCTACACGCATAGAACAAGGTGAGAATTTGTTGGTTGGTTGGCATTTTCTTTGTTGGAAACCAGAAACTGTCAGAATTCGTCGGGTGCTACAGCAATCCCTTTTTACACAGATAGTTTCCACCTGTGATTTATTTCCTACATCCTGTTCTCCATTTGCTGTGAAAGTGGCTCCAAAATGTTTTGACCTAGAAGGTCATGATATTAAAATGCTTCACATACTACGCTGGATCAGCACTAGAGAAGCAAAAAGTGCAAAAATGGCAAAGACTTCATGTTTTCTAATCTTCTCTGAGGAATAAAACTTTGGAATTCTATGACTCATTAAAGGCTTAGACTTGGACCTCTATTTCTCAGTCCAACAATGTTGGCATAACTCTTACCCAGAACTTGCTGGTTATGACCACTTCACGGTTTAGGATCTTAACACCTGTCAGAACATCTCTTCCACAAATCAACTATCCGTCCCACCCACTCCATGCTGTTAGAAGTTGCAACACCAAGGGAGGCTGAAAAGGCAAATAGGAGGAATCATACATTTTCAGTTGTGGCCCCTAATGTCTGAAATAAAATGCTGGTAGAGATATAAGACATAAGACATAAGACATAAGTGTCTGAAATAAAATGCTGGTAGAGATATGCCCAGATCCTTCCCTCCTTGCATTTAGAAAGATGGTAAAGACCGAATTATTTAAAGCTTCCTTTACCTACTAAATCTCCCGGGTACTGCCAATACAGTGGGGTCTTGACTTAAGAACGGCTCGAGTTAAGAACATTTTGACTTAAGAACCACTAGATACCCCGTTTTCTCTCAGCAATTGAAATCCACCAAAAACCTATGGCCCCACATTTAAACTCAATACTGCACTTGGGTAAAAACTGTTCTTGAATCTGCTTGTCCTTGCTTTCAATACCCTGAATCTCCTTCCTGATGGTAATAGTTTAAAGAGCTGATATCCCTGAAGGCAGGAGATATGCCTGGATTCTTCCCTCCTTGCATTTGGAAAGCTGGTAAAGACTGAATTATTTAAAGCTTCCTTTACCTACTAAATCTCCTGGGTACTGCCAATACTTTTGCAATTTTTAAAAAAATACTTGTATCAATTTTAGATTTTTGCAATTTTTAAAAAATACTTGTATCAATTTTAGATTTTTCATAGGGTCATTCATAATTTATGGTTATAATTATATCCTGTTCTATTGCTGTATTGTTTTAATCGTATTTTTGTTAGTGTAATGTATTGAGGATTTGTGAGTTTTAACCTTGTGTAAACCACCCAGTGTAGCACATGCACTAATGGGGCAGTATATAAATTGAATAAACAAACCTGGAAGTAACTTGTATATAGTCTGTAACCATTTCCTTTTACCATAACTAAGATATAATTAAGTTATATTACTGTTGTAATTTAGGAAGGGATAACTTTACACCTTTTGTGCTTTAACTCTTGTGTTTAAAGTTACTTTTACAGTGATGGTGCTGTGTAGCCTCACCTAAATAGTAGAGGAGAAATAGCCCATTATCAAAATATTGGCTCAGGTCATGCCTCATGCTGCTACATTCAAATTGCTGCATTTGTTTATATTATGCAAAGTAACCAGATTTGTCTCTTGCTTTGTTTAATAGTTATACCTATAACATTAGCTGCTTTTCAGTGTTACCACACCGGTGACTCTCACACTGTGGTTTGGCTTAGTAGTGGGCCTTTATTACACCAGTCGTTCTGGCCCCCAGATTCTCTATGTGTCTCATCAGATTGGAAGAAGATAGGTGTAATGTCTTATCTCTCTCATTTTAAATTGATCATAAAGATCTTAAGGTCTTATGGAAACAATAATGGCAACATTGACACACTGTATGTTTTCTGGAACAGAAAATGTAATCAACCATACGGATGAAGAAGGCTTTACCCCTCTGATGTGGGCTGCAGCTCATGGGCAGATAGCAGTGGTGGAATTTCTCCTTCAAAACGTAAGTGAAATTTTTTTCCATTTTGTACATTTCTGATTTTATGATCCATGGAGGTAGCAGTCTAGTTCAGAGGAGTGATGATAATAATTCTTTACCATCAAGTTGATTCTGACTTATGGCGACCCTTTTCAGGGTTTCCCGGGTAGAGAGTTCTCAGAAGTGGTTTACCATTCTGGGCCTGCCCTGGGACTGTGCAGCTTGCCCAGGGGCACACAGGTTGGCTCTTTTGGGGATACCCAGTGGAGAATCAAACTTCCAGCATCTGGCTTGAAAGCCAGATATAGTTTAGATACCTAACCTGCTGAGCTATCCCACCTTTTGTCTCGCCAATGACAACGATGAAGTGTGGTGCCATGTTGAGGGAGCCATTTTTTCCATTTGTAGCAATAGCCGCATGGCTGGGCTGAGCTAGTGAGTTGCTCCGTCTACAATACCTAGCTTCGTATAACCTCAAATTGTTGTGACTGTTCTCCTTTCTGGAGTGTACAAATGAACTCCACAGAGTGAGAGATTAAATCATATGGACGCTTCGTCCACCCACTGGAGTACTGAATATTCTGTTCTAGAACAGGGTGAATGTTGACAGAGAAATTGTGGTCGTTGTCCAGAAACATAGAAGCCCTTTTAAAGAGGCAAAGGAGCAATTGGGGCTTTTGCAGCTTGGGGCCACAGTATTTGAAGATCCTCCTCTTCTCAGATGTTCCTGTCCTTGCCCTGAGATCATCTTCTGAGTCCTTGCTTCCAGTGCTCCAGCATATTGAGATTCAGCGGGCTCACGAGCAGGTCTGTTGTGTCTCACGAATTGCAAAATGCCCTCTTCAGGAGGACTTGCCTGGCATTGGTTGGGGCTTCCCAATACCAGCCAAAAATGTTTTCATTCCCTCAGTGTTTTTAAAAGAAACCTGTTTTTCCACTTGTTACTTGTTTTACTTTTCTTGATATGCTTTATATCTGTATTTTTACATTGCTGCGCTCCATATTTCCTTAATATCTAAGCTCTGCTTTTAGAATGTTGCTATTATTGCTGCTTCTTTTTTTGTAAAACAAAACCAAAGGAAAAAAAAAGATTGGGATCCAATGGTGTAATTCAGCTAAATCCTTTTCCTCAGAATTACTGATTCCCTGCCCTTCTACAATCCCTGTGCATAGTAAAAACACACTACAAAAGCCTCTGAGGGAGAATGTTGGTGCCACAGAGGGCTTCAGGAGGTGGGAGGAAATAGTATTGATTCTCAGAAGTTGGGAGTTCAATTCCCCACTGTTCCTCCTTGACAGGGGCTGGACTTGATGATCCATAGGGTCCCTTCCAGCTCTGCAGTTCTAAGATGATGATGATTCGAAGATATATGGCACAGTCTTTGACTAGTAATTTATAACAGATACACATTTTATTATTTTTTTTTATTATTTTTATTTATTATTATTATTATTATTAGTAGTAGTAGTAGTAGTATAAGTATTATTAGTATTAGTAGTATTAGTATTAGTATTAGTATTTGTATTCGTATTATTAGTATTATTAGTATTAGTATACACCACTGGATTATGGTCTGGTATTTAGGATTTCATAAATAGGTGTTTTGTTTGTTTTTGTTATTTCTATCACCTTAAGAGTTTCATTCATAAATGAATAAATACATGATTTTACCAGAGCCCAAAGCCAATAAATAGCTTTGAGCATCAGTGTAGCAGGTTTAGTCTTCATATGGAGGATGAAAAGGGTGCATAGAACAGATTGTCCCTTAAATGTTTGAAGTCTCCTCTTCTGCCTTCAGGGATGTTAATGTCTGACTGGGTTTACATCTCTCGAATCTTGACAGTGTTTGGTTGCAGCAGGGCTGATATGTTGGATTAATGCAGTAGCAGCATATTTACTATCTCTGCTTTTTCTGCCAGGGTGCAGACCCGCAGATTCTGGGAAAAGGGCGAGAGAGTGCACTGTCATTGGCCTGCAGCAAAGGATATACAGACATTGTCAAGATGCTGCTTGACTGTGGAGTGGATGTAAATGAGTATGACTGGGTAAGACTGGAGTGGCCCTTGCCTTTGGAATTAATCCACCATTAGTCCAAAGTGGAGTAGAGAGACTGAAATCAATGGGGTATATTCCCTCTCCTATGGATCTATTCCACTTTCAACTTCATTATTATCCCTGCACTGAGCCAAGGGTTGGACTCGGTGGCCTTATAGGCCCCTTCCAAATTGGACTTAGTTCTTAATCTGATATTACTTTTTTGTTTATTATTTATTTAACTCCTCTAATACCCTTCTATTCAGGGCAGCGAACACCAATGAAAACTAGTCATAAACATAATTAAGTACAGAAAATACTGTACAAATACAACAATTCAACAAAAACAGGCAGGGTGGAACATGCATTATGAACTTGATATGAATTTGGCAGAACAGTATGACTGAACTTGGATTTTAAAGGATGAGTTTGAGTTTCTTCTAAAGGACAGCTAATGGACAGGAGGTACAGGGCTGAATTAGTTGTTTAAACACAAGTGAGTCCCATATTTTCTGTTATGTGACTGCACTCTTCCAGCTGCTTATAATAGCGAATTTGGCATGATGCCAAAAACTTTCCACTGAGTCAGTTGATTACCTCCAGTTGATGGTTGGAAAGCATGTCTGTTGTGTCCTGTCTGTCTCCAGTTTGTTCTCTAAGCCATCTCTAGGAAGTGGCTGTGTACTGGTGACACTTATAGTCTGTTCTCTTACGATTTAGCAGGTTTTTGTTTGTTTGTTTTCTGAGGGAGCCCACAGAGATGCAGTTCATTGCTGTCTCCTTTTGTGTGAAGGCTTAGAGGAATTGATGTCAGCATGTTTGACAAGAATGTCTTGGTCTAGCTTTCCTTTCATGACATACAATTAAGAATTAGAGTTTTTCTGCCATGTTCTGAATCAGCCTCAGCCTTATTGGTTAGAGTAGTTACAGACAGTCATGGCTGTGGTGGAACACATGTGCAGGACACCAAATTGGAGAAGGCTGCCCTGAAACCTCAGTTGGCACCACATTGCTAATTTTTGAATTCCTGACAGCAAATGTCTGTTTTGGTGCTCTGAGATGTGAGCCTGGACATTGCTAATTTTTGGATCAAGAAAGAGAACTTGGCAAAGGTCTGCTTTAATCTGTAATGAAACATCAGTCCCAGATTGTGATGTAGAGTAGAGTGTTGCAGACACAGATTGGGATGTGGGAATAATGGGGCCACACATATGCATTTATCTGGGTCCAACCCATAATTTAAGATAAGGATATGCATAACACAGAGGAGGGGAATCTAATAAAATGAGCCAGTTGACAACAGTTCACGCTCTGATTGAACAAAAACTGGATCTCAAGGTGGAGCCTTGTAGAAAAGTTAGCCTGCATCACAATGGTGTGTTCTTCAAAATTACACTGTGCAAGGGGGGCACAGTGTTAATCCATGTGTATTTCTGGTATATGCACAGGGTTCTACTACTTCACTCTGCTGTTTACCAATAGCAAGCACCCCTTCACTTCTTGCAAAAGTCCCACTTGTAGGAAAGAAGCTGCCTTTCTGCTCCTTCCTCCATTTTCTCCACAGATGGTTTTTCTTACGCAAGTTGAATCAGCAGTACCTAAGCTCTGTCTTGCTCAGAAACTCAGTAGGAAGAAAGGAATACAGAGACTGCTCCTTTCATGTTTCTCTGCAGGAGAGGGAGTGGTGTGGTTTTATAAACCCTTCCTATTGTGCTTTTGAGCTTAAAACACAAGGGAATCCCTCCCCTTCACCCAATTCTCCTTAGAGCCAAAGAGGCTTGTTTCCTTTCCCTGCCAGCTGGTCTTTTGTAGAAAGGATCATCAGCTTGTAGCTACTTGTATGTACCTTCCACAAACCTTGGCACAAGGACTGGTATCCCTCCCCCCCCCCCCCCGGCTGTGGAGAACCCCCAGACGCCCGCCGAGNNNNCCTAGGCCAGTTTGGAAAACGAAATGTGTCTTCAGCTGGTGAACCAAAGGAGCATTTGTAAATCTCTGAATATGTACAGCCTGTTTAGGGCAAAAAAATGGAAAATGAATTCTGAAATACAAGATTTCTATTTTCCTGTCTTTCTTTACAGAATGGTGGTACTCCTTTGCTCTATGCTGTACATGGGAACCATGTGAAATGTGTCAAAATCCTCCTAGGTAAGTATTATGAGAGTGTGATTAGTCACTGAGAACTGAAAGCCTGTATTATGTTAATAAATCCATGACTTAAATTCCATCCTGTTTTAATAGAGCATGGTGCTGACCCAACTATAGAGACAGATTCTGGATATAATTCCATGGATCTGGCTGTGGCCCTGGGCCATCGTAGTGGTGAGTAGCCAAGCACTTTCAGTCATTTTAAATAACTGTTGCTCTCTTTTTGCATCAGTAGGTTACTGCTTTACATGTTGTTGTCTCTCAAGATGTATGAAAATGTTGTAGATTCACCTATCTGTTAGTGATCAATCCTTCTGATTTTGCAACATAAGCCACCTTCCCTCAACACTGGTAACCTCCTTGCCCCATCATGTGCCACTTCCTTGTTATGCTAGCACTCCACATGCTGTTGGACTGCAATGCAACACAAATTGCAGTGCATTAATGGCCAAAATCCTGTTGCTTAAGCCAAATCATAACTATTGGCCCATTCTTCTCTGGTAAAGAAAGTATTCCTGCTATGATTCTCGGGGCACACACATGCACCAAGCCGGCATACGCAGATACCAGAGAATCCTGGCAAGAATTCTTTGTTTATTGGGAAGAGTGGACTGAATGTTACAATTTGGCTTGCGCAAAGCAACAAGATTTTGGCTACTGTCTGGAGGGCCAGAATTGTTTGCCCTGGTACAATAGCATAGCCAAGGAGTAGACTCCAGGTACTGGCATGTGATCATCTGTAATTATTATGTGCTGTCAAGTCACCCTGACTTATGGCGATGCTACGAATGAGCAATCTCCAAAATAATCCTATTCTCAACTGCCCTGCTCAGGTCTTGCAAATTCAACCCTTGGCTTCCTTTAGGCAGTCAGTCCATCTCTTTTTTGGTCTTCTTTTTTTCCTGCTGTCTTCCACCTTTCCCAGCATTATTGTCTTTTCCAGAGAATCTTGCCTTCTTACAACGTGCCCAATGTAGGACAACCTCAGCCTCAACCTTTTTTCCTCCAGAGATAATTCAAACTTGGTTTTATCTAGGTCTCACTTGATTGTCCTTCCGGCAGGCCAGGGTACATGCAAACTTTCCTCCAGACCATATTTCAAATGAATTACAGCCATAACATTGTGATTGGAAATACAAGAATTCAAAAGCATCAATTCTTTGGTGGTCACCCTTCTTTATGGTCCAGCTCTCACTTCCATACATCACTACTGGAAAAACCATAGCTTTGATTGTGCAGACCTTTGTCGGCAAGGTGATTTCTCTACTTTTTAAGATGCTGTCTAGGTTTGTCATCACTTTCCTCCCAAGAAGCAGGCGTCTTAATTTGGTGGCTGTTGTCACCATCTGCAGTGATCATGGAGCCCAAGAAGGTAAAATCTGTCCCAGCCTCCATATCTTCCCCTTCTATTTGACAGGGGGTGATGGGAACACTGGCCATGATCTTCCTTTTGGGGGGGGGGGGTTGGTGTTTTTTTCTTTTTCTTTT